TAATACGTCACGCGGCCTCTACATATGAAAACAAGGGACACGCAATATATAACATTTTTGGGTTTAGGAAGATAAAATCCTTCCAGCTGAACCGACAAAAATGTGAAATAGAAAAAAGTGAAAGTTTGCAGTCTTCCTTTTTTGTTTTTTTGACACCGAATTGTCCTTCTAACAGCTGCAGCCTCCCGGCTAAGCTGTCACAGTGATGGGGTGTTCGGGAAATGTCTCAGTGCCTGTGATTGGCGCTGTCAGCTTCCCGGCGGGCTCGGCACGTGGAGCTGCGAACACGCCCGAGCCCATCACTAGTTCAGACTTGATCTGTGGGCACCGCATCGCCCCCTTGTGGGCAGACCAGTGCACAGCATTGTGTACAGTACTTTGTATCGCGCGGATTGCGATCCTTATACATTGCGCTCTTCTCTTCCCTCCGCAGCTGCGGCCGATCGTCTCTGAGATCGAATACCTGCAGGACCAGCACTTGCTGCTGACGGTCAAGTCGATGGACGGATACGAATCGTACGGTGAGTCTCGGTTCCTGTTTATGTTGGTTGGTTGGTTGTTGCTGACGCCATTTTGCTCATTCTATGTTATATAACCTCTCCTTCTGTATATGATAAAGTGTAGAGGAGTCCCTGAGATGGGCCTGAAGTGTCTGTAACCCCTGTGTGGGGTTTATCCCCCCATGTAGTCATGTGACTCCTCATATGACGTCGGCGAGTGGTGATTATATCCTGTGTGGGGTTTATCCCCCCATGTAGTCATGTGACTCCTCATATGACGTCGGCGGGTGGTGATTATATCCTGTGTGGGGTTTATCCCCCCTGTGTAGTCATGTGACTCCTCATATGACGTCGGCGGGTGGTGATTATATCCTGTGTGGGGTTTATCCCCCCCCGTGTAGTCATGTGACTCCTCATATGACGTCGGCGAGTGGTGATTATATCCTGTGTGGGGTTTATCCCCCCCGTGTAGTCATGTGACTCCTCATATGACGTCGGCGGGCGGTGATTATATCCTGTGTGGGGTTTATCCCCCCATGTAGTCATGTGACTCCTCATATGATGTCGGCGGGTGGTGATTATATCCTGTGTGGGGTTTATCCCCCCCGTGTAGTCATGTGACTCCTCATATGACGTCGGCGGGCGGTGATTATATCCTGTGTGGGGTTTATCCCCCCATGTAGTCATTATTTTGGTTGCGGGGTCTTCCCCCCCCCCCCCCCGTGTAGTCATGTGACTCCTCATATGACGTCTTTTCATTTCCTGTTCAGGCGAGTGCGTGATCGCCCTGAAGTCGATGATCGGCAGCACCACGCAGCAATTCCTGACCTACCTGTCTCATCGAGGGGAGGAGACCGGCAACATCCGCGGCTCGATGAGAGTGCGCGTGCCCGCGGAGCGCATGGGCACCAGAGAGCGGCTGTACGGTGAGATGAACGGACCTTTCCGTGTGGTGATTCCACATGTGACTGTATTCTATGGGAGTGGCGACGCTGGGACATGGGAAGCAGTGTATGGAGAGTGCGGCGGGCATGTCGGACATTCCCCCCGGTGACGCACAAGACGCCCAGATTCACGCAGGGCAGCCGAGGGCCCGGCGTATGAACGCAGACATAAAAGGAGGTGATAGGAGCGCAATTCATTATCAGGAAGGGAGGTGTATGGGGGAAGGGCAGTCCAATGCATGCCATGGACATACCATCTACGTCAGTGCCGGGTCCAGGTTCCTTCACACCCGAGACGCAAAGTCCAAAGTTCTCCTGCCTCCATCCCCCCCCACCAATGAGCTGGGAACCACTTCAGCAGCAAAGGGTGCAGGTCCGGCCCTCTCTGCACCCCCTCCCCCTTCCAAGGTGGTTCTACCCTTCAGTCCGGCCTTGTCACACATGCACCTTCCTTGCGCATTGTAAACTTGTGTTCTTATGCTGATGACAAGCATTGTGGCCCTTGTGGTGTGGGCCCTAAAGCTGCACACTGTATGGCATAGGAGACCCCGGAGCAGAGTGGACTGCAGTGATGCGTGCCCTGGTGCAAAACCCCAATAAGCTTCAGCTTCAGGCTCTTCATGTATTGTACTAAAATCA